TATGTCGGACATGTAACAACAGAATAGTTGATGGTATAATTCGTCTATCGCGCGCCGAACTTTTCCCGGGTATTCATAAGCCTCATATTGTGTCATTTTTGGTTTTTCTGCGATAGAGTATCCCGTATCCAATTTCATCAACTTACCATAATGCTTGAACGAAGTATTATGAGCATACATTTGACGCTCACATACATACGAGAAACACACTTTTTGAATCATAAACACCGCAATCGTTAAGACCAGCCATACTGGACGCAAATTCATTTCTACTATAAAAGCTTCTTATTAGCTTTATGGTGCACTCTTATTAAACGTTTAGTATTTTCACTTGAACAAGAGACGACGCACTTATACTTTACAATACGTTTTACATTCAAGTTTCATTCAACGTGTAGTTGGTGTATAATACTTTGTTGGTAATAAAAAATGCTCATTTCAATCTTTATCCAATAATACTGTTTTCTAGATTCTATGCGTGTTATTTGATAAGTGTTATTTTACAGTTGGCTTGACACAAGTTGCTCTTGTTTTGTAACAAACAATACAAAAACGGAAAACTTGTGTAGCTTATACATGCTGTTAACCTTGATAATGTACTATATTATACTTTATTAAAAAAATATGTATCTACACCTGCAGGTTAACTGCTTCTCAATATTTGATAAATTATTTTTATTTCAATTTATTTTACTATATTCCGTTTTTTATTATAATAGTTATATTGTATGATATTTCATATTTATAAATTAGGTATTTTATATAATTCCTATACTGTTTTAGCTTCGATGCATATTATTTTTCTTTGTGTATTAACCCCCGATAACTTAATAACTACAAGACTGATTTTTCTTGCATGTCTTATGTTCCAATTCATACATTAAAATATGTTATTTTTTAAAATATATTTCGAAAAGTTCAATCTTATACAAAACTTACACAGCTATTAGCATAAAAATATTACACGCTATAATTTTCTTAATAACATTGGATTTGCTTTTAAATTTTAATAGGTCAAAAAAGTTAGGATTTTTAAACCAAACATATATCATCAAGTAATATCACTATAACTCGTTTACATACATTTTTTTCCATACAAGTGCTGTATTTATACTTAGGTACCATTAGAAATATGGAACCTTTTAATTTAAAAAAAAATCAGACCCTTCTTTGTATGACGTGATCTTGCTATGTGTTTCGTAGTAAGTCATTTTTTTTTTTTTATTTTTGAATTTACGCCAAAGGCTCAAGTACAGTAATTAAATTAATTATAGTGATAAATTAAATTACAAGATAGAAAAAAGAACATACATTATTACAGCATAAAAATAAACAATCAAACTTATACTAACAAGAAAAAATTAGAATATTAAGTGTTTTATAGCAAAATTAATAATTATAAAAGTAAAAGTTTTGAGTAATGCCGGACTATCACATTTAAAAAAATCAAAAGAATCCATTCAGATCCTTTCCTTTTTATCTCTGTATAACTTGTATACACCTCCTGCGTACTTCCTCAAATAGTTCTTAGGATTCTGGTGACTGATTTTTCAGATATTTCTGTCGATATGCATTTCTCTTTAAAACTGCATTTTGACACTCACTGTTATATCATTCCTTTGTTTGGTTTCTGTATTCGCCCAATGATTTTTTTCGCCACTTCAACTATAACATTACTTATTGCGTTCCATCTATCTGAGTCGGGCTTACCCATTTATATTGATTTTAGCTCCTAGAGTTCATCAACGGATTTCATATTTTCTCATTCTTCTTTAAGTTTATCTATATTGAACTTAGGTATTCTGTTTTTTGTTAACCGAACGCTCTTTAACTTAAGTCTGAATTTCGCGATGACCAAAAAATGGTCAGTATCGCAGTCCGCTCTTCGGTAGCTTCTTACATTTGATATATATTTGTGTATATCCTTATGAGGAAAGGATGTGCTACTTATTGTCATGGTTCTTGATGTTGCGAAATCTACTACCCTCTGACCATTATCATTGCTTTGCTCGTGAACACTATATGTAGATTGTAGGTATAAACGAGACCTTTCTAGTTTTTAGGGATACATAACAAACTACAATACTATATGTTTCGACATTTTACATAAAGAGAATGCTCACTACAAAAGAAACAACTTTGTATAAGTTAAACAAATCTTTTATCGGTGGACAACGGAACATTCCATACAAATTTGGAACCAATTTGACTGTTTTTTAAAAAAGTTTTAGATCGCCAAAGGTTAAAAAAATATGTACATATTTTTGTGTATTTTTATCGATTCGGAAAGGATGAATTTTTTTGGCCCAATAAAGTACCAATTAGGTACGATTTTATGATTCATAGAATTAATATACATAGAAATTGGTTCCGCGTTTTATAAGATAAATGAGTCCAGACATAAAAAAAAGACAGCCGGTGTTAGTATGTTCAGTTTTTTGTTTTGCTAATTTTGAATCAATTATTGGTCAAAAGTCATTTATACTTGAGCGCTTTAAGAATACACGGACTCGGACACGCCTAAAAAATAACCATTGATTTATTTGTGACGTTATGGCATGACAAAGTTGAAACCGTAAAATCAAAAAATTGTTTTTGCATTTTTCTAATTCAATGGCGAAGAGTTGAATTTTGAATACAACAAAAGGTGTAATGCTTGCAATTATCGATTTGTACATACTCCAGTTGCAGTCCAGACAGTAAAAAGCGCATGATATGAGAATCCATAATAATATTAGTATTATATTGCGTAGGTAAGTATGTTTAGAGCAGTTGACAAATGCATCCTTTCAGACCTACTAAGTGGTCGTTATTTTGGTTATTAAGTTCTAGTTAACAATACTTGCAAAATACATTTATAGTTCAAAACTTTAGGTTAGTTGTATGTTTTGTAATTCTAGTATTTTGCAAGTTTTTGATGTTAAGGACTTGTGTTAGGCAACGCGGACTGCACCACGTCGTGGCGGTCCGCCGAGGAAAAAATCTTAATAAAAATTAAGCTATAGAATATATCATTTAAAACTTAAAGGTCCTAAAATTACGGCTAAAAAACTAAAAAAACAAAAAACTTGTACCCCCTTATAGGGGGGGGGGGCAAAATGGGTATAATTTAAATTTGATACAACTGACATGCGCGGGCAAACCAAATAAATATTCCTAATAAATTTCAACTCGATCCGACTTTTTTTCTCGAAATTATAGCCAGTAAAAGTTCTAACTCAAAAACTCGTGCGGGTTTTTTTGTTTTTTTTAAATTATGACTGTGAAGAAGTAAACTTTTTCAACTTTTACCCCCCCCCCCCCCCCCAAAGTACCAAGTAGATGAAATTTTTTATTTATGGAGTTACTACTCGAAGGAATTGGTTCAGTATTAAAAAATTTACAGTGTTTACTGACACAAAAAAAGCCCACATCAGAGTAAAACCAATACCTCTGTCGCTCTGCATCGACGCTAAAATTCTATGTAATTGGTAGTTAAAATGATTACATGTAGTAACTTAGAAAGACAAATCCAAACTTTGTCTAAGTGTAGTTTGATTTAGAAAGAGAGAAACAACCTTTATTAAAGCGATTTGCCCGACGGTCGGTTTGCCTACATGACACAGTGTACACATTCAGACATAATTGTTACAAAATTCAAAGATAAAAACAATTCTTGAATCAAAGCGAGGAGTTGCTCTTTTGAAAATGTAAAAAATACTTGTTGTACTTATCCTATCGTCGAACTATGACGAAAACAAAATATTTTGTTTTAAGTGTACAGTTCAAATAAAACGTTTTACCAATTTTATAAATGTCCATCAAGAAATATTTACGATGGCAAAGACTCTAAAATTGGTCAAAAAACTTTAAACAAATTTGGGACCTCGTTCTAGGCCAAACCTAAAGAAACCTTTTAGTGGACTTAATCCACTAGTTATTAGAATATACAGGATGATTCGTTAATGATATGACGTTTCTTTTTTTTTAGGAATTATCGTTATTTTGTAGTTTTTTAATAAATATTTATTTACGAAGTTATTGAACTTTAAAATTTAGAGCAATACTATACCGAACTACACTTCTTAAAAACACTGAGCCGTGTAAAATAATAGGAAAGGTAAATATTTATTAATTTTATATTGTGGTATAATAACACAAACTTAAGTATTTCCAATTATAAAACCTAAAAAAATGCGATTATTTAAAAATAAAATTAGCATTCTTATTAAATCAATCAATTTGTTTAATAATGTATTTTGATTGAATCCTCGTGAGAAAAATACAGCAAATTTTGCCAAAAGTGCATTTAGTTTGTTAACTAGATCTTTTCCGTGTTCGCTCTAAATAAACAGGAGTGGGTTTGACAAAAGCATAAAACCGATTATCGACACACAGCAAAACGTCTAATAAATGATATATACTGCAATACTGCGAAGAAGTAAATTATTTGTACAGTCACAGCTGTTGTACTCAAACGGAACATAACGTTACTTGCGCAGAGTAAATCATTTGTACGTGTTATACGATCTGTAGGTTTTTGGAAATACTTGTTACGAGAATAACAAGAATAAAAAAAACCAGTACAGTGGGGTCGGGGCATAGTGGGGACGGAGCAAAGTTGAGTCGGGGCATAGAGGGGACGGGGAGGTCAATTTGTTTAATATATTTTGATTTATTGAAAATATTATAATATCAGGTTTTAGTAATAAATTCAAAGACAAGCGTGCATTAATAAAAAATGTTTGTTTTACAACGTTTTAGTTTTCTTTCAGTGGAAAAAAATAATATGCACAAGGTGAAGAAATCTATTGGTAATACATCGACCTAGATAGAACAGACAATAAGTTGTTTTTCTGTGAAATATTTCCGTATTCGAAGCATTTGTACAAATAAGAATAATAACAAAACAGAAAACACATATACCATTTCTTTTTATAAGCAAAAAAATAGACTTTAAACTCAATCTTACGCGTCGATAAAATATCTTTTCATATTTCATTCTGCACAAAGACTTTGTGAATATCAGTAAGCAAATTTTCATTTCTTTGCAAGTCTCATACACGCCACGTACATATTTATAAAATGTTTTTAAAAAAAATTATACTACTTTTGTGTGTCTTGGGTCGTATAGAGAAAAGTATTAGCACGGAGGGAGAAACGATATCCGATACAGTGGATGAAGCTTCTACGAGTGGAACTTCTACGGTGGTAAGTATCCATAACTCCTATTGCAATAAAATATAAATAATGACATAATATTTTCGATAGATATTGTTAGGATTATTGTATATATAACATAGTAAGCAGAGTAGTGCAAATTTTTATTCGATTATCTTAACTTGAAATTATTAGAATAAATATATTTTTGTAATTATTTTAAGTTTAATTTCTAAAATTATTCGATTATTTTGTATAAGAATAATTTATTATTTAAACAACATTTTATATGAATGATTTACAATTCTGATTGTTAGTAAGGTACGCGAAATTTCGGTTTTACTATTGTTTTTTTCATATTTCATCGATATAAGAATGGGTGTCTAACCAAAGCACAAAACAAATACATCAAAATCTGAAAAAAATATTATTTGTTTTATGTTTTTAGTATAAAAAGGAAATACTTTATGCATTTTTAAAATTGTTTTGACGTTTTAAAGAGATCCAATACCGCTGTATCGAAAAAAGCTTCTACGTATGGTCCTCATGTGGTGGTATGTAACTAAACTTCAAAATTATTTAAAAGCTTATAGTATATATCGCCGCCCCAGTAGAACAATGACACAACTGCAAAATTTGGTAAAATGGACTAAATGCTTCAATGAGTTTAGATATAGCGAACGCATAAGGTAGAAAAACGACGTAACTGTAGTTGTAGTAATTTCCCAAGCATTCCCATTCCATTAAAATTACATCCTAAAACATTTTAGTGAAAACAAATTGGGTATTTTGGTTCTCCTGTAAAATTTCAATTATTGCAGTTGTGTCGTTGTTCTACCGGGGCGGCAAAATGGTAAAAATAACATAAAAAACTCTTGCAATAAACTATTGATGGTTATACATTTTCTATAGAGATTGTTAGGATGTATGGATAACATTGTAAGCAGAGTAGTGCAAATTCTTATTCGATTAATTGAATTTGAAATTATTCGAATAATATTTTATTACGATTTTTGTCTTGAGTTATACTATTCCAGTTAAGTAATTTTAGCTCTTTTAAATTAATAGAAATCATCTTCGCTACTTGTTGGGGGGAAAGGTGGATTCTGAATTATAAAAATTATAGTAAATTATAGACATTGTTAAGATTATTGTATGAATAACATTGTAAGTGTGAGTGGTGCAAATTGTTATTCGAATAATTGTAGTTAAAATTCCTCGAATAATTCTTTTTTAAATGATTCGACTAGTTTTTAAATGAATAATTTGTTTTCTAGATGACTATTAAGATAACATTTTATTCGAATGATGCACAACTCTGATTGTAGGTTTACAAATTTTTGTTTTTTTTTTCACCAATAATTACGAATAGCTGACACACGGATATAATTGATTTTTCTTCTCTCGTACATACAAGTATCTTTACGTTATTCGTTCCATACGCTTTTAATCGTATAGAATAAAATAGCTTTTAATTTCTGTTTTTCTAATGTATTTAATATTTCATCTATGTAGTAATAAGTGTCTAACAAAAGCACCAAATATACACATCAAATCCTGGAAAATTCAATCATTGGTTTTGTTATAAAATGTGAAAAATAAAATATACTTTATGCCTTTTTTAGAATTTTTTTAAGTTTTTATTTGGCAAAAACCAGATTTTCGGGATTTCCAAAGTTGTTTTACGCATCATACTATTTTCTAAAATAGGTTGCTAAAAATAGAAGAGAAAACTATAAGAAGTTTCTAGTGCAAAAAATTATGTTTTCGTATTTTTCATTTAATTTTAAAACTTTTAACTTTTCAACTTGACTTAAACCCTTTCTTGATAAAATGATTCCAAGAAAATTAACTGTACATATTATTCTAGAATATAAATCCAAATCTAAAAAAATTGACAAATAAGGAATGGAAGGCGATATTTGACAAATACGACATCGAGAAGAAAGGTTCAATATCCGCCACGATATTACAGAAATTATTATACAATGAGTTCAAAGTATTTATCACCATTCGCCATGCACAGTGTTATACAAATGAAATTAATGATCACAGTAATATTAAAAAAAAGCAATGTTATACAAAAAAAATCATTCTACAAATGTCTTAACTGGTTTCAGAAAGCAGTGAAATAGGATGGAAAGTGGTGAAAAAAATGAAACCGATAATAACTGTTTTGTCACAGGTTTGTTCAGTTTTTTGCTACTGTAGAGGCTGATCTATTTATTAAATTTTGCAGTTTTTGTGGTTATTATATTACTGTGTAATATTATAAAATACCCAAGTTTTAAAATTTTCCAGAAATCTACCAACTTTAGAAATTTTAATGATAATGAAAATGTGTTTATAAGATTAATGATGGGAGTAATTAGGTTAAAGTGTTTAAAGGTTGATTCATACTTAGCACTCTAGAATTTTCTTAGTTTTTATGTGTTCATTCATATTTACCTCATTCCCATTGACCTTAATATTTGTTTTGGTTGTGATTGAAAGTTTAAATATCTAACTTGATGTGTCGCTCTTGTGTACCATAAACCATACAAATATTTCAAACTTATTAGAAAGTTAATTCTAATTATAAGTTAAGCGAATCATTTTTAACGCTTTTTTAAAATGTCTATCCAAAACTAATTATAGATCAGAAAAAAATCCAAGCAAATTATTCCCAATTAAAAATGTTAACTAGGTATGTAAGTCACCATTTAGATTTCAACTATTAATAGATCACCAGGAAGAGTACAGATTTGAGTGTGGTCTTATATTGTAAAAAAACAATAACTAATGTGTCTCATAAAGAAGAAACTACGACACTTATTAGTGAAACATCCGGTATAATATATTTTTTGCACCCATGCGTTACAAAAAAAAGGTATTAATAATTTGACATGGTTTGTGATTCTTTTTTTTTTTTAGAGAGAAAGCCTAGAGGAGTATACGAACTTAATAAAAAGTGAAAATACTTCGTGTGAAAATTTCGTGGTCACAATAAGGAGTAAATTTGAAAAAGTGTTTGAGAACGAGAATGAAGTTTTAGAAGTACTCAAAGTTGTTGGCCATGACGGTAGTAAAAAACTTAACTATTAATTGAATTTATTTTTTAATTATCTAAAAACTGTTTGTAGAAAAATTACCAATTAATTCGGCGGACTACCACGAAATACTGAAAATGTTGACGGCTTCACTACGGGTTGGTTGTTATAACTCTAATATTATTTTTGCTTTATTAGTACGATTCATCATGACACCAGGTGGAAAGATGATATTCAAATTTTGTCCTTAAAAAATGAGCAACAATATTCATTAAAAATATTATGTAAACATGTTCATCTAACATAAACATATTATAATTTTTAAAATTTGATTTTTATTTTAGTACTTAAATATTTTAATAACATTTTTTTTTCCAGAAATCATTCATTTTCGTTTTGTATTTTTTCTCCAGAGCAAACTAATAAGTTTTAAAGTATTCTATAGATGTTTTTACATATATATATATATAATTTGAATGAAAATTATGCAAATTATGTCATTCAAATTGGCACAGGGGACTGAAAGCGTAAAACATGTTCTTCTAAGATAAAAAAAACTTAATTTTTCAAATTTTATTCTGTGAATCATCGATGAGTAAATAGCTTTTACCTAGATCTGACGTCAAGTTTTTCACTCTCGTAGCGAATTGTACTTTTATTATTTCATTTGTTTATTTAATACGAATTTTGCGTTATAATATATAATAGAATAACGTATTTGTTAAAACTTCTAGATGGCACGAATATACTGGCTATATGCTTTTACTAATGGCGCAAATCACAGTAATATTTGAGAACACCATTGTAGTCGTCATTTTTATTGATTAACATTTACATTTTTCCAGACGGCATTTTGAATTATGATTTTCTCAAATATATACGACGCCATAAGCTGTACAGAGATATACCTGATCCTTGCATAATTAAACTCTACAATGACATCAAGAGTATTCGCTTTTGAAAATTAGAATTTTATTTTTTTTGTTTTTTGCAAGCCAAAAACATATTAAAATTGTTTTCTGATGTTACAATATATTTCTTAAAAAATAATATTAAAGAATACTATGCACTAGAATATTACATTACAATAAAATTATACATACATTTTAATCAATTGATTATTTAATTAATTTGTAAAATCGCTATAGATTTGATAAATATAATTCGTGTAATGAAATATTTGTTTATATACTTTTTAATTATTCCACTTTACTTTGATGGATACAAGTTAGTCCTATCCTTTACCTTATCGCCTTATATTATGTTAGTAAATAAAAAAGTTTTTAATCAAACCTAATATTAAATAATTAGATATTATGACTTTGTAATTTACCTGAAAAAAACTACTTTTTTTTCAACTTAAATATCAAAAGCAATTTTAACTGAGCGCACGGCAGTGTGCCAGGCCAAGTTCAGCAATGCCAGTGTATCTTTACTCGAACCAATTCACCCAAATTTTCTAACCCACATATCTCTGTTTCCTCTTAAGATACGTTTTTGAAATTTGTAACATAGCTTGAGTATTTTATTTCATTTATCGGTCATCAAATACACAATATTTTAATAACCGTAATAATATCATTAAGTCTATATAATTAATAAACAGCTCTGCTACTAAATGTTTCGCCACGAATCAGGACTTTTAACGTAGTATAAGATGGATTCTAATTATGAACAAAATATACGAATTATATTACAGAATAATAACAATAAAGTCTATAAAATTTACCCAAAAAGTTTGTCTGTTTAAACGGCATAAAAAAATAGAAAAATAAATAATATCTAAAATATAACAATAAAATAATTCTGTAAACATTCACTGTTTTTTTTTAATTTTATCTCTAAAATGTATAATTTAACCTTTTTTTTTATAAACAAATCCGTTTTCTGCTAAGGAATTAGTGCTAAAATTTTAAAGAATATATTTATGTATTCTTTATCCTTTCTCAAATTGGTATGTTTTAAAACTGAAATAATCTATTAAATCTTTATATTTTTTGGACATCTTCAGTAATTGGACAAAAGAAAAACAACATACTTAGGTAAATAAAAATGTCTAAGATCACAATTTTTTATTTAAATTAAGGAAATTTTAAGACTTTACTTTCAATCATAGCAACATAGAAATTTACTCCAAAAAAAGAGTAATTTCAGGTCACAGGTCTACAGATCTTATTATAACTGAAAGTGATAAAATCACTTTTAAATAAACGCTTCGATGCGAATCTGTGGATAGTATGTTCAAACTAGTTATAGTGGTTTAGAAGATATCATGGGACCAGCAATAATGTACTTAAAATTTAATATTTAGTCTTGTGCAGGGTGGATACGATAAAGGTTGATCGTCTGTCTATAAAAATGTACTATCATAGTTACCCATCTATCGTAATTAACAATATAATGAAAATATTTTCAGTACCTGTGACTGTTGATTCACACACACATAGCAACCTAGAAATTGACTACGGCCAAAGTGTAGTAAATTTACCCTATTTTTTGGGTTTTTCCTTAATAAAAAAAAAATTTGACAACAGATTTTTTAGAAAATTGTACATGTTATAGTTCCATTTTAGATCTACCTTTGGTCTAACTTTCAGATCTAAATTTCTAAGACTTTGAAAAAGTGAAATAAAGAAAAAAATGCTACCCCTTCTAAGAGAAAGGGTTTATGATATTTTTTTGGTTTGTTAATGTTTATCGATAGTCATGTGTTTGAAGAACAATTCGTATAATTTTGGAACATTTTCAAATTTAAATTACAATAAAACTTACAATACAAAATATTATCTGAAATGTTAAATGATAAATTTATCATGGGATTTGTTGAATAGGGCCTACGCTTTTCTTTTTAGTCCAAAATTAAAGATGTTTACCTTACATTATTTAAAATTGTAGTTGTTTTCAAAGTAAAAAAAATCTGTTACAATTTATTAATTGGTAAATTCTTGTAGTAGAATGATTTATTACTTTTTAGTTCACTTTTTTACTATATTTTAAAAAGGCATTTTTTTAAAAAGTTACTTTTTTATATTTTTATGAATCTGTTAGTGTTTTTCCTTTCTTTTTTTAGTAAACCAAAATTTTTGAACTACAAATAAAAATGAGGTAAATCAAAACAAAAATACATAAAATAATATAAAAATATATAGTAAGTGTATAATAAGTTTTAGCCCCACGCTAACTTCAGTCTAATTTTCAGACTTTTAGGTCTGAACATTTTACTCGAAAAAGAGGAATAAAGAAAAGTTTCCATCCCGCCTTGGAGAAAGGGTAGGTATATGAAAATTGAAATTGTTTTGGTTGTCAACGTTTGTCGAAAGTACGTTATCGGTTATCTCATAGAAATTTGGAAGTAATAAAAAGGTGTGGACTTTATAGTTTGTCGTATTTTAGTTACCAAAACTGGAAATACCTATTTTTTTTTTAACTTTTCAGTGCACGTAAAAACATTTTTCACTATAATACCTATATTGTTGAGCTGGCCAAATTCATATTCACAAAATGGTTTCAAAGATTACCATCTTGTTAAATACTCAGTTGTACACGCCTCGAGTGTTCGTTAGAAACACCTGCGACTTCGACCAGACCATTTCTTACAATTTTCTAGGACACATTAAGTATGAATATGATTATTTAAACAAATAATTTGTCAAATAAAATTCTCAAACTTTAACATATAGCAAATTTCGTGGTAAGACATTGATTAAAAACAAAGATTGACGACAATTTTTAATACTCATTTCAAAAAATATATAAATATATGGTAAAAATATTTTACAAATACAAAATTAGCTTTCAAGTAATTATAATACATTAATAATATTAATAAAACATGACAAACAATCACTAAAAACAAATCTACAGGTCAAAGTGGGGTAGGTCAAACTTATATTGAATTTAATAATAATTTTTTAGATTTTTATATAACATTAAATCTTTAAAACATGAAGTGGTTGTGATCATTTGATTAAAAGAAAACAAAATGTATTCAAACTTTACCGGTAGAAACAGTTTTATAAAGTTGTGGGTCACTCGCTTTACACTTTTTATTTACAAATTAATAAATATAAATTATTGATAACGCAAGCATTTGTGTCGTGTGAAATTGGATTGCTCAGAAAATGACTTCGAACACACATTACATTTATGAGGTTTTTCGCCAGTGTGCACCAATTTGTGCCGTCTGAAATTGGATCGATCAGAAAATGACTTTAGACATACATCACATTTATAAGGCTTTTCACCAGAGTGCACACGTGAGTGCTTTGTGAGACTTGTGCTTTCATAAAATGACTTTAAGCAAACGGCACATTTATAAGGCTTTTCTCCGGTGTGCACGCGTTCGTGACATCTGAGAGTGGATTTTACAGAAAATGACTTCAAGCACACATTACATTCATAAAGTTTTTCGCCGGTGTGCACCCGTTTGTGTTTTGTGAGAGCGGTGTTTCCAGAAAATGATTTAAGGCACACATCGCATTTGTAAGGCTTTTCTCCTGTGTGAACGGACCTTTTGTGTATATTAAGGTTTTTTTTTTGTGAATATGACTTCAAACACAAGTTACATTTGAAGGGCTTTTCGCCGGTGTGCACGCGTTCGTGTTCTTTTAAGTGGTATGAACTCTTAAAAAACTTTAAGCACCTATTGCATTTGTAGGGCTTTTCTCCAGTATGCACGCGTTTGTGTTTTGTGAGGTCGTTACTTTGAGAAAATGACTTCAAGCACACATTACATTCATAAAGTTTTTCGCCGGTGTGCACCCGTTTGTGTTTTGTGAGAGCGGTGTTTCCAGAAAATGATTTAAGGCACACATCGCATTTGTAAGGCTTTTCTCCTGTGTGAACGGACCTTTTGTGTATATTAAGGTTGTGTTTTTCTGAATATGACTTCAAACACAAGTTACATTTGAAGGGCTTTTCGCCGGTGTGCACGCGTTCGTGTTGCGTAAGGTGGTGTGTTCGAGAAAATGATTTTGAGCATACAATACATTTATAAGGTTTTTCTCCGGTGTGAATTCGTTTATGTCGCGTGAGGGTAGATTGGAGGGAAAATGATTTTAAGCACGCCGCACATTTGTAGGGTCGGTTTATGTTTGTGTATCCTGCAGTAAACTTATTGGGATTTATAGCGTTTGAATTTTGAGGAGATTGATTCATCGTCGAACTTTTGTGGGATTTCATGATATGTAAAGTTATTTGTTTTTTAGTGTTATATGCCGTTTGTTTATTGTTATCTGTTTCAATCCTAGATTTGAAAAAACAACCAGTAGTTATTTTATTCGCTTCATTTCTCATACGATTGACACCACTAGAACAAAACATTGATGAAAAATTAACAACATTGTATTAAAAAAATATATTTTTCTCACAATTGTATATTTCTTAATATATATTATATTTTGACCAATGTAAACGACTTGAATGTACAAAAAAACCAACTAAATAAATTTAAGTCATCCAGTTAAATAGATGTCGATATTGTCATTTATGTACATTTAATGAAAACGTTTTCTATTTTCAAGAAAACTCTTTCATTCTTATATGTATTTGTTCTCCCGTAGACGAGTCGAGGGCGTCAGTCTACGGGAGAACGCGATACAAGCAACATCGAACCAGATCCTTAAAGATGGACAATGCAAGGGTCTCGAAACGTTAGCGAACCTGTCAAGATATTCAAATGGAAGTGACCGCAAGACGTGTAAATAGTGTAAATATTCAACCATTCAAGTTTTAATAATTTTTTAGTATTCCATTTTTTCAAAAACGATATTATTCTTAAAATTTACACTGTTAATTTAAATGTAAATAAATAGTTGGACCGCGAATTATACAGTATCTACATAAATAATACGTGTCGTTATGAGTAATAAACTAATATTGTACTTTCATTTTAACGATAAAACTATGAATAATTCAATATATATAAAATAGTACTTACATAAAAGTACTCTCAACGACTTCTTTTACAGCGCTTTTCTGGGTTAATAATTGCGCACTATGTGAATGTGTAATATGTCGGGCAACTTTCTTTTTTGTAGAAAACGACATTTTGCATACATCGCATACAAATGACTGAATCTCATCCAAATTACCATTTTTTTCAATTTGAATCGCAGACTCAAAATAATGTCTTTTTACTAGGTCCACTTCTATTTTGACTATTGTTTCGGGGCACGGTTCTCCGACACTGAAAACAATAATATACATACATTTTCTGGAAATTAAAGTTTGGTTTAGCGCATACAATAAAATCAAGTGGAGGTTCGTATGGTTGCTTGTAAAAATAAGCGCAACTGAATGGTCGTAAGAGATATCAATTCAACACAGAATTGTTGATGCGCAGGATATTATATTCTGTAATCTATAAGGTTATAAACGTTTTATGTGATATAATGGAATTGTTTGTATATGTACTCTGCCAATATTTGTATCATTGATGTACATGGGGTCTGTCAGTATTTTATACTATTATTATTTATTTATTTTTACAAACAAAAATTTTAACAAGTTTTACAATATAGTCGGCAACGTCATTGCAGGCGAGCAGGCTAAAATTGGCATAGCAAGTACTGAGGCAACTAAACTCATTATAACGTATGATGATATTAAAATACAGATTGAAGAAATAACTAACAACGGATGGTCAAAGATTTGGAGACAAGAAAAAAATAAACTTGGAGAAATTTAATGTTCAACCAACAAGTCAATGCACAATTTACAGCGAAAAGAAGAGTTGACCAAAAACGCATTGAGAATAGGACATACGGCTCTAACTCATGGTTATCGTATGGGAAAGAGAGAAGCCGCAATATGCGAGACATGTGATACCACAGTAACCGCCTAACATCTACCCAAACGCCCAAAAATATCAGCTAGACATCAAACTACCTTAACAACTGAACGAGTATTTAGGACCAAAGTGACATAATTATATGTAAATAGTTTTTTAACACAATAAAATCATTTAGTAATTAGTAATTAATGATTCTGTAACTAATAGCCTTTGTCGTCTATGTTAAATGAAGATTAATAAAAAACAAACTAATCATAGCTTAAAAAAAAGGAAATATTAATACAAAAAAAATGTATATATTTGTGTTCTGTTACAGATGATACAAAAAATTAACTAAAAATTATAGGATTTTTACAGGTGGCCAAATATTTGTATTAATTAATAACATACACTTAAAATTGTATACTATAAATTATATTACTTGTATGCATTCCTGTCAATCGTTTTTTGATGCTCTTTCAATTGCTCATTATTTTCTTGAATTTCAATTATGGATTTGTAGTAAAAATCATCTGTCTCACCTTCTTCAATTTTAATTCTTGGCACGTCTCCTGTTTCATTAAGTCTATAAACACAACGAACATTTTTAAAATATGAGGTTGTTAATTTACAATGTTTTTTTAGTAACCTTTAAGTTTTAGCCTTATCCAGCATAACTTTAACTTTACTAAAGTATTAAAGTTATTTAATAATTTTCTCTAAATGGTTAAGTATTTAATAATTAATAGCTCATCTGTTGCACCTCCGTTTACTGAGATGACTTAACTTAAGTATCAAATAAAATAATAAAATTAAATAAACCAAACTGTTCTTTTTCCCGTTTCGCTTATTGCCATTTTTGCAGAATGTATATTGTAAAATAATATATATTTCCTAAAGCAGATAGTACGGAAAAGTAAACACTAAACACTTTTGTAGTATTAGTAATTCCAAATAATATATCTGATCGGCACCGAACCGGACCAAATATAAAATCTGTATATGATCCGTGCTTTTTTAGTTGGGCCAGGGTCTGCTTGGGACTACACTGATTAGGTAAGGTTAGGTAAAAAAAAAAAAACACACTATTAGTGTTTACACCAATTTTATGTGACACAACATTAGAATGTTATGTAAAATAATTATAATATAACAATAACAGTTTTGCACCGGGACCTTTTTCAACAAAATTTCATACACATAGTTATTCGCCATGGAATGCCTATCAATACCTTATCTATTACCTATTATTATTGTTATTGCTATTTTTTACAAAATGTACTTCAAATTCTTTAATTATAAATCACATTACTTATATGCATCTCCGTCAATATTTTCTTGAGGTTTGTTGTTGGTCGTCAGATCACTTTTATATAATTTTTCAATGTTTTCCGGTTTTGTTTTTTCCATTAAGGCTTCGGTAAGTTGTTCTTTCGTATCCTCATTTTCTTCCTCTATTTTGATCACAGTCTCGCAGCAATAATCATCCATTTTAATTTTGATTCTTAGCTAGTTTCTCACTTCTTTGACTCTAGAATACAAATTATATTTTCAAAAATCAAGATAAGAACTTATAACTAGTCTATCAAATTGACATTAGCCGCCTGAGTGTAAGCATATTCAAATGAAACGTGTGAGGCTAAAAAAGCTCCAGAGGTTTAACCAATGAAACGCATTACTAGAAGCAAGTCTATGCTGATCCCGTAACAGGAAACAATGGTTAAAATATTAGAAAATGTTATTAGTTATAACCAGTTTAAAATAAAGCATACTTTTTAAATAAAATACTATTCAGTATTCTTACTAACGCAAATAAAGAAATAAGAACTTAATCACATATTTACTCAACCAAAAACTTAAAATTTGTTCCCCTATTGCCCTAAATAGTGATGTAAAAGTATTTTTATTTTCTGGGAAATAACAAAGAGGATATTTTCAAATATGAGCATAGTAACACATAATTAATATTTTTAAATTACTATAGCTTGAGATAAAGCGTATTTAAATAAATCAGATTCAGAAGTTTTAGAAAAAAAAGTTCTAGAGACCAGCAACATTTTTCTATTGGTTGACTAACTGGATAAGATTCTTCTTGAAAACCAATGAATAGAAAACATTATCAGTTAATTAATTAAGCACCTGCTAAGCTGTGTAAACTAGACTTGTTATTATCCCTACTTTCATTGATAGCGCTTTTTGTGCTATAAGTCTTTAGTTAAAATGTAAATGTATGTATATAATTTAACTTGTTTAACAAAATACATAATATCAAACACGTCGTATACTGTAGATAAATAACTAATAAATTCATTGGAATAAATAAAATGTATATATTAATTGTAAATGTTTGTCGGTACTTACTATTATTCCTATTAAGAGGCCGTTTCCATGGACGCAAAACACAGTTATAAAATGTACACACTTAATAATATTATTCTTTTTAGCAGTATTTTAGAAGTAAACACACAACAGCTATGAAAATTACAAACAACAATAAGGATGGCTTTAGGTGAGAAATAAAAAAAAATTACAAACAATAATCTACTTGATAATGATGTTTATGCGTGTGAGACAAATGATAACAGCGCGGCGGCCGTCGATTGGCTGGAGGTAGAACGCAGTGAAGGTAAATACATTTTCCATCACCATTAATTGTACATTGGAAATAGTCAATTTAAATAAGATCAACTTGTGGAATTATTATATAATTGTGAGGAAACCCTATCCACAATGAAATATACTTATAAACGTACACGCGTGTACTATGTAGCCATCTATAGCGTTAAGCTGACCATAATCAGATTCACAAAATAGTATTAAGGATTACTTGTTAACAATTAAAATGTACACACCTTATTTTTTTGTTGGATACACCCGTGGCCTCGTCCAAAGCATTTATTTAATTTTTCTAAGACGCGTCATAAATGTATCGATAAAAAAAGGTTTCCATACATATCTCAAGATGCTATGAACCTAGGCTGACATATGATTGTACTAATAAGTATAAACTCAAGTTTTAGCTTCAATTAAAATGTTGTTGGTTACCTTAAGGTCTAAAGTGAAATACATATTAATTAGCTGATATTATTAAATCAGTGATGTATATAATTCTTCTAAAAATAATAAAATTAAAAACACACAGTAAAACTCAAGTTTTAGTGCTAGTCAACATGCGTAGTGAGACGTTGTCACTTTAACATAATAGAAATGCCTAATACAATTTAACGTTGTTACTTTCAATTTATCAGAGTTAACAAATTAATTATTTTATTGGTATGAGCTTAATATAATATGTTACTAAATTTAAAAAAAATTGGATATTTGATCTTTATGGCAATTTGATACTTGAAAAAGTGGTTGGTACACTAAAAAATGCCCACTAGCACCATCAAAACATATTGGAAAATAATTTTTACATAATATAATAAAAGTCTGAGCGAAAAACACGGTAAAAAATATGAAGCTCGATTTTTCAGGTCAGTTTAATTTGTATGCATAGTATTGAGTGCACATTTCTATAAAATAATTTAGTATCGTAGATCTATTTATATGGACTTGTTTTTAGAGTTAGGATACCTATCATTTCAAACCTTCGCAATAACCTAATACCAACGTAAATGACGCCTGCGTGGTGTTAAAAATAATTACAATGTTTGACACACATTTTAAATAAATCATACAAAATTTATAATTCTAAGTTTAAAGAAATATACAAATGTTAAAAATATTTCATAAAAAAAATAATATTAATAATAATGATACATTTATATTATAAGTAAAACACACCAAACAACCACTAGAAACAAGTCTACAGGGTTTTACTCTTAAGTATATTACTTTAAATTAAAAAAAAATGTTTTGTTTTTATTTAACGACAAATCAAAAAAAACATGCAGTGATTAAAATCATTTGATCAAATGACAACAAAATGTATTAAAACTTTACCAGTAGCATATGTTATATAAAGTTGTGAGTAACTCACTTCACACATTTTATTTACAAATTAATAAATATAATTTATTGATAGCGCAAGCATTTGTGTCGTGTGAAATATGACTTTAGGCATACATCACATTTGTAGGGCTTTTCTCCAGTGTGTATGCGTTTGTGTTTGTTGAAAGAAGATTTAGTACCAAATGACTTAAGGCACACGATACATTTGTAGGGTTTTTCTCCAGTGTGCACGCGTTCGTGTTGTATGAGGTAGCATTTATCACCAAATGACTTAAGGCACACGTTACATTTGTAGGGTTTTTCTCCAGTGTGCACGCGTTTGTGTTTTATGAGGTAGCATTTATCAGAAAATGACTTTAAACACACAGCACATTTATAAGGTTTTTCGCCAGTGTGCACGCGTTTGTGTTTTGTAAGGTCGTTACTTTGAGAAAATGACTTCAAGCACACATCACATTTATAAGGTTTTTCGCCAGTGTGCACGCGTTTGTGTGTTATGAGAGAGGATATTACAGAAAAAGATTTATGACAAACATTACATTTGTAGGGCTTTTCTCCGGTGTGCACGCGTTTGTGTGATATGAGAGAGGATGTTACAGAAAAAGATTTATGACAAACATTACATTTGTAGGGCTTTTCGCCAGTGTGTACTCGTCGTTTGTGTAGTGTAAGAGAGGATTTTACAGAAAATGACATTAGGCACACGGTGCATTTGAAGGGCTTTTCACCGGTGTGCACGCGATTGTGTACTTCAAGGTAGTTTTTTTGAGAAAATGACTTCAAACACACATCACATTTATAAGGCTTTTCTCCAGTGTGTATGCGTTTGTGTTTTGAGAGATCGGCACATTGAGAAAATGACTTCAAACACACATTACATTTATAAGGCTTTTCTCCAGTGTGTATGCGTTTGTGTTTTGAGAGATCGGTACATTGAGAAAATGACTTCAAACACACATTACATTTATAAGGTTTTTCGCCAGTGTGCACCCGTTTGTGTGTTGTGAGAGAATATTTTACAGAAAACGATCTAAGGCACACATTACATTTATAGGGTTTTTCCCCGGTGTGCACGCGTTCGTGTGTTACAAGGTTGCGTTTATTAGAAAATGACTTAAAGCACACATCACATTCGTAGGGCTTTTCACCTGTGTGCACACGTTTGTGTCTTGTGAGGCTGGACTTCTCAGAAAAAGACTTAGAGCACACAGCACAGGTGTAGGGCTTTTCTCCGGTGTGAACCCGTTTGTGTACTGTGAGATAGGATTTTGTAAAATACGACTTTAGGCACACGTTACATTTGAAGTGCTTTTCTTTGGTGTGCATGTGTACATGGGTTTTAAGGTTGGCTTTTTCAGCAAACGACTTTGAGCAGACATCGCATTTATAAGGCTTTTCTCCGGTGTGCACGCGTTTGTGTTTTGTGAGGTTGCATTTAACAGAAAATGGCTTTAAACACACACATCGCATTTATAAGGCTTTTCCCCGGTGTGCACGCGTTCATGTATTGTGAGTGTTTGTTCTTCCATTAAATAACTTTAGACACACGTTACATTTGTAGGGATTTTCTCCAGTGTGTATGCGTTTGTGTTTTGTGAGGTCGGTACATTGAGTAAATGACTTTGAACACACATCGCATTTGTAGGGTCGGCTGATGTTTGTGTATCTGTCAGTAAACTTATTGCGATTTATAGTGTTTGGTTTCCGCAGAGAGTGTTTTTTTGTTAGACTTTCGTGGGATTTAATGATATGTAAACTTATTTGTTTTTTGGTGTTATACGACATTTGACATAAATTACATTGGAATAAAGGCCGTTTTTTTATATCTTCTTTGCTATACTTCGATGCTGTTTGTTTATTGCCTTCATTTCTCGTACGGCTATCACCACTACAACAAAATATTGATGAACAATTAACAATATTGTATTAAAAAATATATATATATATATACTTCTCACAATTGCATATGATTAATATATATTCTATTTTGACCTAAGTAAACGAATTTAATGTACAAAAAGTCCAGCTTAATAAATAAATCGCTTCATGTAAAAAGGGCCTTAGTCTTTAACTTTAAACTTGTGGAAAAATGAAAAAAAAAACGTTTGATATGTTTCAAAATGCATAAACATATAAGGGCTTTATCAAAGATAATAGATATTAAACAGTAAAATTACATTTTGTAAAACAATTTTATTATATTCAAAATCAGTCTAGATTATAAGTATTTAAGTATAGTGGACTTAGACCATTTTTACAAAAATCAATAATTTTCTTAGTAATTTCTGGTAATGGGACTAAATTTTTTTTTAACATGAATCAATGCTTCTAAGTAAAGTGATAACGAATCTGTAATAATCACGTTTATGATAAAATGGTGACTTAGGCCCTTTTTGCATGAAGCGATTTAAATTTAAGTCATCTAGTTTAATGGATGTAGATATTACCATTTGTGTACATTTAAAGCAAAAATTTTCTGTTTTTAAGAAAATTCTTAGATGTAAAAGTGTATCCTGTTTTTAAAAATTGGATATCAATCTTAAAACTTGCACTCCGAATTTAAAAATATATAAATAGTTGGATCGCGAATTAGACAGTATCTACTTTGATAATACATGATGTATGTATAATTAATTGATATTACACTTTAATTATAACGATAAAACCATTGATAATTTAATATATAATATAGTACTTACATAGTAACAACAGTACTTTCAACGACTTGTTTTCCAATGCTTTTCTGGGTTAATAGTTGTGCACTATGTGAATGTGTAATGTGTCGGCAACTTTCTTTTTTGAAGAAAATAACTTTTTACATACATCGCATACAAATGACTGTATCTCATCCATGAGACTATTTTTTTCAACTTCAATCACAGACTCAAAATAAAGTCCATTCACTAGGTCCACTTCGACTTTGACCATTGTTTCGTTGCACATTTCTCCGGCACTAAGAATAAAAAATATACATTTTTTAATTCAAAAAGGAAAGCGAAAATATCTGCTACGCTGCCTACGAGCAATCAATATTAAAAAAAATAGATTTATGTATTAACTATCACCGGTGGATATATAAAGTTAGAAAAATAGATATTCATAAAATAACTAGTATGAAAAACAACTCCAAGAATACAAATATTTTTTTGTTTATAAGGCGTATTATTCCGCACGTTTCTTGAAAATTGAGCAAGTTTTGTGCACAGAAAATTTATTTTTCACATTTCGTCGGCACAATCTAAATTTGCACATTTTTTTTTTTATGTTTCAGATTTATTTTTTAATATTTTTATTTGAATTAAAATTGTGCGTGACAATGATACAAATCTCATATTGATTATCAACCTGTTGATTATAACCTAACCTAATCTAGGAGTGCTTAGAGTATTTAAGAATATGCCAACTTTTTTTATTTGTAAAAATTAAAAAATAAGTAAAAATGTATTATTATCTATTATATTAATTATCTAAAAATTAAGTTCTATGATACATGAATCAAAGCCCATATAAAAGGATTGACCGTATTCAACACAGAATGGTTGGCGCACAGAATATTATATTCGATAAGCAATATGGATAACAGTTTTAGATAGACCAATATTTGAAAATTCGACGTGCACGGGGTCAGCAAATACATTTTTTTTTAAATTACTGATTTATTAATCACAGTAATTAAATTGTACATAGACAAAAGTACACATGAAATATTATTAAAAATAAAAATGATGTTATCGTGTTTTGTTTTTGATTTGTAAATGAAAATTATAGAACGTTTAGGGGTAGCCAAATATTTTTTTTTTTAACAACATCTATAATAAATATTTTATTTTAAAATATATATTACTTGTATGCATTCCCATTGTTCGTTTTTTGTTGTTCACTATTTTCTACAACATCAAAAGTGGACTTGTAGTGATTATCATCAGTCTCACATTCTTTATTTTTAATTCTTGTCTCGTCTCCTATTTCATTAAGTCTAAAACACAAGATACATTAAAAAAAATTAGTTTGTCAACTTACAATGTTCATTTTACGAAAAATAATATAATTCAAGTTTAAGCCTTACACCGGAGATGTCTTTCCAGTACTAAAAATGAAAATGATCATATAGAATTATAATACTATTTATTTAGACTGGTCAGACCCTTAAAATATTACTCGTATTTTGTAACTTAAATCCACCCGAATAACATTATTAAAACCCGGCCTTAATTAAACAATTTTTTAAGAACCCTGGATTAGACCAAACCAATATATTTACTTTTTTTTTTTTCGGCCACTCAAAAAAATAATAAAATATATCTAAATCCAAATTTGGCACCGTTAAGACATGTATAAAAAAAATTGATACCAATTTGGTTAGAATAAAATAATGATAATTCGCAACAAAATGGTTTAATAAAAATATGTTTTTATGATTATTATTTTCTTTTTTAACAAGTGATTTTTTACTTCCTAAGTATTTTAATTAATAAATTTAATTTTTATTAACACTGAACATTTTTATTAGTATTATTTTATTAGACCATTGAAACGTTGAGCTGAACTAAGTATAAAAATTGGTAACGGTCTGGGCTTTCTCAGTTGGGTCTGGGTCTGCTTAGGACCAGACTTTTTAGTTTAAAAAATAAAAGCCATACTATTGGTGTTAACTCCATTAGTATGGTGCATTGGTGCACAACATTAGAATGTTATGTAATAAAATATATTACCTATATTCATCTCCGTCAATATTTTCTGCCGTAAATTGTTCTGTCGTATCCTCATCTTCTTCCTCTATTTTGATCACGATACCGCGGTTAAAATCATCCATTTTAATTCTTAGCTAGTTTCTCCCTTCTTTAATTCTAGAACACAAAGAATATTTTCAAAAATAAGGTTAAGAACTTATAATTAATCCATAAAAAAGATTTTAGCCCGAGTTTAAGCATATTTAATTGAAACATGAGTGAGGGCAGTAGTTTTAGTAAAAAAACAATGTAAAATGGGAAAATGATTAAAATATTAGAAAATTGTATTAGTTATGGCCAGTATAAAATACACCATACTTTTTAAATAAAATACTAGTCTTACTAATGCAAAGAAAAAATGAGAACTTAATCACAAATTAACTCCACCAAATTTGTTTCCCTTTTGCTCTAAATAATAAATTTAAAATTCTTTTTATTATAAGGGAAACAGATTATATTTGATAAGAAAGTACATGGTATACCATAATATATATATGATTATACATTGATTAGTTTAATAAATAAAACTATAAAACCAATGATACTTACATAAAAATATTACACAATTACAATTTACAATGAATGCTTATTTGAGTACACTTTCTCGACAAGGATTTGATTTTATGAATTTAGACACCAAGCAACAGCCAAGAGGTAGAAAATCACAATGACACAGGTAGCCTTATGTTCTTTATAACAACATGTAAGCCATGGTGGGACAATAACAAGGGAAGTATTGGCTGCACCTCCCACAATCAACATTCCACTGTCTCCACATTCCTCACTTGGGCCTATACCACAAACAGGTATACTCAAGAATCAAGATTAAAACCTTAAAGTATACTAGCCTGTACTGTCGCAGGGAGCAAAATTAATAGAAAGAGAACCCTGAGAATCTCATGGATTAAAAATTGTAAAGACACGGAATAATGAATTTTATTCTGGTGGTTAAAATAATTGAAATGGTTAAGACATGAAATGAAAATATGTATTTAAACAAAAGTGTTTTTTTTTTTAATTAGAACATTATTATTGAACGTGTTATTAAAAAATGAATAATATATACACATTGGAATTAATTAATAATTAAAAGACCTATTGTATTTGCTATATGAAATTGTAAAGCATTTGAGTAAAAGTATTTAAGTAAATGTATTTTAATTTTTTAGATAGACATATAGTTTTAAACAGATTTTATATGGATATTGAACAACGAATACTATTAAGGAGACAATAGGAGACAATAATTAAAATACTAGACAAATTTTTTATTTAGTCAGCAAAAATTTCACCATATTTTTTAAAGAAAATACTATTCTTACTAATGTAAATAAATAAGAACTTAATCACAAATTTACTGGACCAAAAATTTTAATTTGTTTCCCTCTTGCTCTAAATAATAAATTAAAAGTATTTTTTATTTTCTGGGACCTAATTCATAATTACTATTTTATAATGACTATAGCTGGTGTTTAAGCGTTATTAAATAAATCATAAGGATTCAAAAGTTTAGTAAAAAATGGTCTAAAAGTATGACAAGCAACATTTTTCTATTGGTTAACTAACTGGATTAGATTTTTAATTTTTGTTTTGTAAAATCAATGTGTATTTTACTGGGTTGATATTTTACAAAAAATATTTATAAAGGAAAAAAATTTTAATTCTTTTTGAAAACCAATGAGTAGAAAACATTATCAATGCGTTTTTCATGGTAAACGAGTCAATGTATTACATTAGAAAAAGGTAGCACCTACTAAGCTGTAAACTTGACGTGATATCATCCCTATGACCATTGATAGCGCTTTTCATGCTATAAGTCTTCAGTTAAAAAATGAATGTATGTAAATAATTTAACATGTTTAACTAAATACAGAATATCAAATCAATAAACTGTGTAGGTAAATAACTAATAAATTCGTTAAAATAAATACAAATTTTATAATCAATGAAATAATGTAATTATTAATCAATATTGTTAATAATGCAATTAACAATCATTGGCAAGAAGATAATAAAAGTATAGAAGATAGATGAAACAAACTCAAAAAAACGCTTAAAGAGAATGCTAACAATATTTTAGGAGTAAAAAGAAATGACGCAAAGAAACCATGGATAACTGATGAAATCATAACATTAATGGAGGAGAGGAGGAAGTTTAAAAATGATAGTAATACAAGTAACCAACATAAATATAAGAAACTTAGGAATTTAATACAGCGAAAGGTAAAATTCGCCAAAGAACAATGGCTAAATGACATATGTCAAGATGTTGGAGAATATATTAAACGAGGACAGAGTGATCTAGCATTCACAAAAATACGAAAATTCTTTCAAGAACAAGGTAAAAGAAATAAAGGTACAAATGCCTTGTTAAGCAAAGATGGAAAAATACTTATGGAGCAGTAAGTAAAACGATGGAAAGAATATTTGGAGGAATTATACAATGGAAATCTAAATGAAAGTGTGTTGGAAAAGGAAGAACTTTAGAAAAGGACGATAAAGGCGAGTATATTCTTCAGTCAGAATTCGATGCAATGCATTCGATGCATATGTAATGAAATATATCGAAGAGGGGTGATGATAAACGACTTTAAACACGAATTAGTCGTAACGTTACAAAAAAAAAAAAAGGAACGATTAAATGCGAAGAACACAGAACAATAAATCTTACATCTCACGCTTCGAAGATATTATGTAGAATAATTAAGACACGAATAGAGAGTAAAATTGACTCAAATCTAGGGAATGACCAGTTTGGTTTTAGAAAAGATATAGGTACTAGAGAAGCAATTCTATCATTGAGAATCCTAATAGAAAAACAACTAAGAGTAAGTAAAGATGTTTTAATAGTTTTTGTCGACCTTGAAAAGGCTTTTGACAATGTAAACTGGGAAAAAATGTTTGATATATTAAAAAGACTAGGAATAACATACAATGATCGTAGAGTTATATACAACCTATACAAGAATCAAGTGATCCAAGTACGACTAGATGGAATAGAAGAAGTAGCAAGAATTGGTAAGGTTAGGTTAGGTAAGGGATTAAGGCAAGGATACATTCTGTCCCCTATTTTGTTTAATATGTATATTGAAGAAGCTATAAAAGAAATAAAAGAAGTAATACAAGTAGGAGTCAGAGTAGGTGGACAAAAAGTAATAGCACTTCGCTTTGCAGATGATATAGCGTTTTGCACTAAAAAAGAAGAAGACTTGCATATATTACTTGAGAAAACGGAAGATATCTTAGGAAATTACGGAATTAAATTAAACAAAAATAAGACCAAAGTTATGTCATGTAGCAAATTAAATAAAAAGCAGCTTAACATAAATATTTAAGGTGAACCTATTGAACAAGTGCAAAGCTACTGCTATCTTGGCAGTAAAATAAACGACGACGGTAAAAGCAAGTTAGACATAGTAAATAGGATTGCACAAGGAAAAAGAGCATTTCAAAACAAAAACCACTTTTTAACGACAAACAGTGTGGGGCTAGACACAAGGAAAAACTTTTTGAAAATATACGTATGGAGTGTAACACAATACGGATGCAAGACCTGGACAATAAGCGCAACTGAGAAGAAAAAATTAGCTTTTGAAATTTGGTGTTACCAGAAGATGCTCAAGATTATATGGAGCGACAGAGTAACAAATGAAGAAGTTTTGGGACGAATTAAAGAAAAAAGACAAATTTGGAAAATTATAACTAAAAGAAAGGATAATATGATAGGGCATACACTGCGCCATGAAAGTTTGCTGAAGCTGATTATTGAAGGATATGTGGATGGTAAAACTGGAAGAGGAAGACCACGAATGAAATATATTTCACAGATTATGAAGGACATGGACATAGGTAGTTATCGAGATTTGAAGGAGCTGAGTTTTAACGGAGAGGCTTGGAGAGCTGCGGCCAACCAATCGAGAGATTGAAGACCAAAACAAAAAAATAATCAATGAAAATGTTTGTCGGTACTTACCATAATTGAGCTATTATAAGGCCGTTTCCATGGACGTAAAAACACAGTTATAATAATATTATGTTTTTTAGCAATATTTGAGCAGCAATCGCAGAACTATACAAATTTCAAAACACAATAAAGTCTAAGGATCGCTTTAGGTTAGAAAAAAAATTACAGACAATCTAGGTACTTGATAATGTGGTTTATACCACGGTTATAAAGAACGGTTCTTTTTAACCGTGGTTTTAAACGTGTGAGACAAATGATAACAGCGACTGCCTTCATTTCGCCGTTATCATTAATTGTCGCACACGCATAAACATCATTATCAAGTAGATTGTTTTCTGTAAAATATGTTTTGCATTCTCACCAGAAGCGATCGATATTAATTTTTCGAAAAGTTGATTCGTCGTTGTATGTTAATAGGAACTTACATATTATTAAAAAACATAATAGGTATTAAGTGTGTAATTTTACAACTGTGTCTTTAGTTCATAGCCTTGGAAGAATTACCAGACTCAATTAATATACTACTCTGTGGCAGTTTGTCAATCTTTATATTTTACAAGTGTGATAAAAATCAAACTTATATTATTTAAAAAGTCTTCACTTATTTAAAATACATCTTCCTGGATTGATTTCGACTTCGAACAACAAATAAATTTCTTAATTCTGGTACTAGTGACTAGGACTATTACACAGCTGAATAATAGTAAGTACCGACAAACATTTTCATTGATTATATAATTTACATTTATTTTAATGAATTAATTAGTTATTTACCTACAGTTTACAAATTTGATATTACGTATATTGTTAAGCAAGTTGCTAAACTAATAGAACAATGTTGCTGGTCGTCATACTTTTTTACTAAAACGTCTAACTCACACTGATTCTTTAAATATGCCTAAACGCCAGCTATAGTCATTTAAAATATTAATTATGGGGTATTATGCTAATTATTGGAAATATGCTTTGTGTTCTATAGTTAAAGAAGTGCGAAACTAGCTAAGAATTCAAATTAAAGTGGATGATTGTAACTGCGGTACCAACATCAAAATAGAGAAAGAAAATAAGGATACAATAAAGCGCTTTACTGAAGCCTTAGTGAAAGAAACAAAACTGTATAACATTGAAAAATCATACAAAAGTTGTTTTACAACCCACAATGATAAAAAAAAACAATAATTGAGGATTCTTATAAGTAACGTGATTTTAAATACATTTTATTTAAAACAAATTATAATATGATATTGATAGCTAGGATTTCTGCAGCTAAAATTATGTTAAAAAATAAAAATGTATATGTTTTGCATCTATTAAATGTATCAAATAATTAACAACAACAATAAACTGAACTTGGTTGTTCGGTTTAATTACATCCCCTGGGAAATATTGTAATTGTAAGTTTTATAATTTTAATTACAAATAATATATTTTATTTTTTAGAGTTACTGAAGAGAAAATTAAAGACGAACTGATGATTATAACAGCTGTCCCCTAAACAAAATAGATGAACAAAAAGAAGATATAAAAGAGCACATTACAGAAGCCTTAAAGATCGAACCAAGTCTGACTTACTTGGAAAAATCACATAATAGCTGCGAGACAGTCCAGAACGATCTTCATAACACATTCGACGGGATTTCATACAAGTAATGCAATTTATAAATTCAAATATTTCATATTGCTATTATGGTGTAATGTTACGGACCCACCCTTTTCATGGCTAATAGTGACTCCCCGGCGGGGTTAAGGTAACTGTACTTCTTTCTGTTGGCACGAGTACTACGCTCTGAGGAATAACAAACAGGACATTCAAATAAGTTTTCGTTTTAATTGAATATAAACAAACACAATATTAAACAAAAAAAATGAAGAGTCTATAACTTTGTTTAACAAAACAAAAATTTGCATTGAATTATCTGCTAAACCTAAATTTTCCAAACAGTAATGCGACGCCCATATTAAAAAAAATGTATACTAGTCTTGTAGTTGTTCATACCAGTTTTGTTGTACATTTTTTGCAACACTAATTTTGCAAAAGTCACTGAGAGCAACTAGTACACAGTTCTATGTTAACATTCATTGATCGTAGCCATTATTTTCTATTAAAGTTTTGAGTTTATTTGTAAATTTTTTGTTTTTAGTATGGAAGAAACGTACAAAGAAACTGTAGTCAAAGAAGAAATTGATTTAGTTGATGGAAATTATTTTGAGTCAACAACAAACTACGATTTGGACGAGATACAACTATATGTCTGCGATTAGATATTTTTAATTTATTTTTTGTTTACTTAAATCTTTGTACATGTTTATGTAACTTTATTTATTTATTTGAATAATTATAAGACAGTTAAATATTTATTAAGCACCTATAATATTTTGTTGACGTGACAACGTCTTATTGCGATCATTGATCAATAATCATTTAAGAACATTATTCATTAGGTTACATTAAGTCTTAGTTAAATGCCACTATGATACATTTTTTGCTATTGATTCATTTCAAGAGCGGAATCGGTAAAAATGTACATTTTAAATATTATAGTGCATTAATTTCATTTGATTACATTTTTTTAATACTCCCTATTGGCTTGTACGTATCTTCAATTGACTACTTTTTAATTATACTCTTTTACTTTAGTATTAGTGTATACAGTTTTTAATGACAACTATCACTAGTATTGGGTCGTTCCACGCAAAATCGGTCGCGATTTGTGAGTCATGTCTCTAATTTTCTTCAAATTTGGAGGGTCAATGGAAGACTCTAAGTAATGGGAAATCTAAAATTTTAGCACTTTTACTGAATTTTATAGCAAAAATTTCAAAAATCGTCAAACTAAATCGAGAAAAAAATCAAATTTACTTTAAGTAGTTTCTGACAATTTTTTTTTTTTTTTATCTCACAATATATAACCGAACATTTTTTTCTCAATTAGGTGTTTTAAAAATTAAAATTATCTTTATATTTTTAGTATATCATCTGGTAGTTGGACAAAAGAAAAATAACAAAGGTATAAAATGAAATGTCTTTTTTTTACATTATTTTTAATTATAAGAACACAATATTATCTCCGTACAACCAGAGATTAGATTTTAGCATAATATAACAATTAATTAAATAGCTGAGTGAAAAAGGGATTATATTCCTCAAATACTAACTTTGGGAAAATTAAAGAAAACCGTTTATTTTGTTTATAATTTATTATTATATTTATTTAATTCATGCTATAATTTACAAATGAAGTCTACCTTAAAGCTATAGAATATATTTATTTTTGGGATTTTATCTTTTTTTACATTTAGCTGTTCAATCAGGTATGAGCTTAATATATGTTACTAAATTTAAAAAAAAAATTGGATATGTGTTGTTTAAGGCAGTTGGATACTTAAAAAAAAGTCGTTGGTATACTTAAAATGCCCACTAGCACCATCTAAACATTTTGGAAAATATTTTTTACATAACATGATAATATTTTACAGGTCAGTTATATTTTTATGTATAATATTAGGTGCACTCATTTCTATAAAATAGTATAGTGACGAAGATTTATTTATATGGACTTTGAGTGTTTTTAGAGTTAGGATAACTATTATTTCAAATCTTAATAATAAGATACAAGTTACAGTTATTTAATAATGTACAAAATGTAAAAGCTTTTACAACAAAAATCGCAACAAAGTAAAATCAACAGGTATTGCTTTAATGATGTATAAAAATACAATAATACAATTTTTAAGTTATAACTTATTGGAAAATAGTACAATTAGTACAAAACTTGTGAAGCATGTTCTTAAGACAGTACTATTTATAACGACTTGACGTACAGAATTCCTATTTAAAGCTAAATACCTATCTATTTAACTTATTAAATCGTTTTTATCAATCTATCGAAAATCGAATAAAATTTAGATTAAGACATAGAGAAACGTTGTAAATAAATATTGCGATTCTCTAACAAATGAATTATTACTTAAAAATTGTCAATATTATGGTACTTATTTTGACTTCAATTAAAATTAAATCAAAATACCTAACCTACAACGAACTGCTTAATTGGTAAGGGATATAATGCTAAATAGGCCTGTGTAGCGAGAAGTTGTCACATTAATATAATACCAAGTTAATGACGCCTGCATGATGTTAATAATAATTACAAAGGTTAACACCAATTTTAAATAAATAATACAAAATTTGTAATAATAGTTCTGAAAATATAAACGATCGTTAAACATATTACAAAAAAAAAATATTAATAATAATACAAGCAAAACACGCCAAACAACCACTAAAGGCCTACAGGGTAAACGAAAGAAACATGCGGTGATCATTTGATTAAAAGAAAACAAAATTAACAAAATTAAACTTTACCAGCCGCATATGGTTTTATTAAGTTGTGGGTAACCCACTTCACACATTTTATTTAAAAATTAATAAATATAAATTATTGATATCGTAAGCAATTGTGTCGTGTGAAACTGAATTTTTTGGAAAATGACTTTAGGCATACATCACATTTATAAGGCTTTTCGCCAGTGTGCATGCGTACGTGTTTTGTAAGGTGGGATTTATCAGAAAATGACTTTAAACACACATCACATTTATAAGGTTTTTCGCCGATGTGAATGCGTACGTGTATTGTAAGGCCGTTACTTCGAGAAAATGACTTCAAGCACACATCACATTTATAAGGTTTTTCTCCAGTGTGAACGCGTTTGTGTTTTGTAAGGTCGTTACTTTGAGAAAATGACTTCAAGCACACATCACATTTATAAGGTTTTTCGCCAGTGTGCACGCGTTTGTGTGTTGTAAGGTGGGATTTATCAGGAAAAGACTTCAAACACACATCACATTTATAAGGTTTTTCGCCAGTGTGTACTCGTTTGTGTGTTGTAAGGTGGGATTTACCAGAAAAAGACTTCAAACACACATCACATTTATAAGGTTTTTCGCCAGTGTGTACTCGTTTGTGTACTTCAAGGGAGTTTTTTTGAGGAAACGACTTCAAACACACATCACAGTTATAAGGTTTTTCGCCAGTGTGTACTCGTTTGTGTAGTGTAAGAGAGGATTTTACAGAAAATGACATTAGGCACACGGTGCATTTGAAGGTTTTTCGCCAGTGTGTACGCGTTTGTGTACTTCAAGGGAGATTTTTGAGGAAATGACTTCAAACACACATCACATTTATAAGGTTTTTCGCCAGTGTGTACTCGTTTGTGTAGTGTAAGAGAGGATTTTATAGAAAACGACTTTGAGCATACATCGCATTTATGAGGCTTTTCATTAGTGTGCACGCAGCGTTTATGCTTTGTGAGGTTGCATTTATCAGAAAATGACATTAAACATACATCACATTTGTAAGGTTTTTCGCCAGTGTGTACTCGTTTGTGACTTGTAAGGTTGGATTTTTCAGCAAACGACTTTGAGCAGACATCGCATTTATGAGGCTTTTCATTAGTGTGCACGCGTTTGTGTTTTGTGAGGTTGCATTTAACAGAAAATGACATTAAACATACATCACAACTGTAGGGCTTTTCACCGGTGTGCATGCGTTTATGTCGCTTGAGGTGATGTGTTCGTGAAAATGTTTTTAAACATACATCACATTTATAGGGCTTTTCTCCTGTGTGCACACGTTCGTGTATTATGAGAGAGTTTTTTGCAGAAAATGATTTAAGGCACACATTACATTTATAAGGTTTTTCTCCTGTGTGAACGCTTTTGTGTATTTTAAGGTTGGGTTTTTGTGAAAACGACTTCAAACACACGTTACATTTGAAGGGCTTTTCACCGGTGTGCACGCGTTTGTGAATTATCAGTTTGAATTTTCGAGAAAATGATTGTAAGCACTCCTCACATGAGTGTTTATTCGTCAAACTTTTGTGAGATTTTGTGACATGTAAAGTTATTTGCTTCTTGGTGTTATACGACAATTGACATAAATTACATTGGTATAACGGCCGTTTTGTTATATTTTCATTGCTATTCTTCGATGCTGTTTGTTTATTGGCTTCATTTCTCGTACCGCTATCACCGCTACAACAAAAGATTGACGAACAATTAACAATATTGTATTAAAAAAATATATTTTTCTCACAATTGTATAATTCTTAATATATATTCGATATTGGCCTAAGTAAACGATTTTAATGTACAAAAAGTCCAGCTTCATGTCATTTCCCCCCCCCCCCCCAGGGTTAGGTTAGTCTGTGTTCCACCTGAGGAATCGATGTGCCAACCGTACTCTTAACGTCTACTAGAATGGGATGAAAATAACTAACACACAACGTCCAAAATATCTTGGAGTAACACTAGACCGATCTCTCACCTATACATTTCACTGTGAAAACACCAAGCATAAAATAATGACAAGAAATGGCATATTGCGGAAGCTCAGTGACTACACATGGCGTTGTAATCCTCACGTATTAAGAACTACGGCGTTAGCCTTATGCTTTTCAGCGGTAGAATATACTAGTCCGTGTGTTAATAAGTAATTAACTGATATTGCTCTTTAATTTTAACAATAAAACTATGAATAATTCAATATATAAAATAGTACTTACATAAAAGTACTATCAACGACTTCTTTTCCAGTGCTTTTCTGGGTTAATAGTTGTGCACTATGTGAATGTGTAATGTGTCGGGCAAATTTCTTTTTTGTAGAAAATAACTTTTTGCATACATCGCATACAAATGACTGTATCTCATCCATGAGACTATTTCTTTCAGCTTCAATCACAGACTCGAAATAAAGTCCATTCACTAAGTCCACTTCGACTTTGACCATTGTTTCGTTGCACATTTCTCCGGCACTAAGAATAAAAAATATACATTTTTAATTCAAAAAGGAAAGCGAAAATATCTACTACGCTGCCTACGAGTAATCAATATTAAAAAAAAATAGATTTATGTATTAACTATCACCGGTGGATATATAAAGTTTGAAAAATTGATATTCATAAAATAACTAGTATGAAAAACAACTCCAAGAATACAAATATTTTTTTGTTTATAAGGCGTCTTATTCCGCACGTTTCTTGAAAATTGAGCAAGTTTTGTGCACACAAAATTTATTTTTCACATTTCGTCGGCACAATCTAAATTTGCACATTTTTTTTTTTTTATGTTTCAGATTTATTTTTTAATATTTTTATTTGAATTAAAATTGTGCGTGACAATGATACAAATCTCATATTGATTATCAACCTGTTGATTATAACCTAACCTAATCTAGGAGTGCTTAGAGTATTTAAGAATATGCCAACTTTTTTTATTTGTAAAAATTAAAAAATAAGTAAAAATGTATTATTATCTATTATATTATTTATCTAAAAATTAAGTTCTATGATACATGAATCAAAGCCGATATAAAAGGATTGACCGTATTCAACACAGAATGGTTGGCGCACAGAATATTATATTCGATAAGCAATATGGATAACAGTTTTAGATAGACCAATATTTGAAAATTCGACGTGCACGGGGTCAGCAAATACATTTTTTTTTAAATTACTGATTTATTAATCACAGTAATTAAATTGTACATAGACAAAAGTACACATGAAATATTATTAAAAATAAAAATGATGTTATCGTGTTTTGTTTTTGATTTGTAAATGAAAATTATAGAACGTTTAGGGGTAGCCAAATATTGTTTTTTTTAACAACATCTATAATAAATATTTTATTTTAAAATATATATTACTTGTATGCAATCCCATCGTTCGTTTTTTGTTGTTCACTATTTTCTACTACATCAAAAGTGGACTTGTAGTGATTATCATCAGTCTCACATTCTTTATTTTTAATTCTTGTCTCGTCTCCTATTTCATTAAGTCTAAAACACAAGATACATTAAAAAAAATTAGTTTGTCAACTTACAATGTTCATTTTACGAAAAAAATATAATTCAAGTTTAAGCCTTACACCGGAGATGTCTTTCAAGTACTAAAAATGAAAATGATCATATAGAATTATAATACTATTTATTTAGACTGGTCAGACCATTAAAATATTACTCGTATTTTGTAACTTAAATCCACCCGAATAACATTATTAAAACCCGGCCTTAATTAAACAATTTTTTAAGAACCCTGGATTAGACCAAACCAATATATTTACTTATTTTTTTTGTCCACTCAAAAAAATAATAAAATATATCAAAATCTAAATTTGACACCGTTAAGACATGTATAAAAAAAATTGATACCAATTTGGTTAGAATAAAATAATGATAATTCATAACAAAATGGTTTAATAAAAATATGTTTTTATGATTATTATTTTCTTTTTTAACAAGTGATTTTTTTACTGCCTAAGTATTTTAATTTTTATTAACACTGAACATTTTTATTAGTATTATTTTATTTGACCATTGAAATGTTGAACCGAACTAAGTATAAAAATTGGTAACGGTCTAGGCTTTCTCAGTTGGGTCTGGGTCTGCTTAGGACCAGACTTTTTAGTTCAAAAAATAAAAGCCATACTATTGGTGTTAACTCCATTAGTATGGTGCATTGGTGCACAACATTAGAATGTTATGTAATAAAATATATTACCTATATTCATCTCCGTCAATATTCTCTGCCGTAAATGGTTCTGTCGTATCCTCATCTTCTTTCTCTATTTTGATCACGATACCGCGGTTAAAATCATCCATTTTAATTCTTAGCTAGTTTCTCCCTTCTTTAATTCTAGAACACATAGAATATTTTCAAAAATAAGGTTAAGAACTTATAATTAATCCATAAAAAAGATTTTAGCCTGAGTTTAAGCATATTGAATTGAAACATGAGTGAAGGCAGTAGTTTTAGTAATAAAACAATGTAAAATGGGACAATGATTAAAATATTAGAAAATTGTATTAGTTATGGCCAGTATAAAATACACCATACTTTTTAAATAAAATACTAGTCTTACTAATGCAAAGAAAAAATGAGAACTTAATCACAAATTAACTCCACCAAATTTGTTTCCCTTTTGCTCTGAATAATAAATTTAAAATTCTTCTTATTATAAGGGAAACAGATTATATTTGCTAAGAAAGTACATGGTATACCATAAACTGTAGATCATACATTGATTAATTTAATAAATAAAACTATAAAACCAATGATAGTATAATTAAATACTTACATAAAAATATTACACAATTACAATTTACAATGAATGCTTATTTGAGTACACTTTCTCGACAAGGATTTGATTTTACGAATTTAGACACCAAGCAACAGCCAAGAGGTAGAAAATCACAATGACACAGGTAGCCTTATGTTCTTTATAAAAACATGTAAGCCATGGTGGGACAATAACAAGGGACATATTGACGGCGACTCTCACAACCACATTCCACTGTCACCACATTCCTTGCTTAGTGCCTATACCACAGGTATATTCAAGGTGACAACCTTGAAGTATACTGGCCTACTTATACTGTCGCAGGGATCACAATTAATAGAAAAAGATAGAGAGAAACGCTGAGAAGCCCATGGATAAAAAATTTAAAAGACATGGAATAATCAATTTTAATCTGGCGGTTAAGATAAGAAATTAAAATATGTATTTAAACAAGTAGAGCGTTTTTTTTTTTTATTAGAACATTATTAAATTATTATCAAACGTCATGTAATTAAAAACCAAAACGAGAGTCACTTTCTGAAGTGTCTACCGAACCGATTTCAAATGTTGTTTTTTTGTTATAAAGTATAACATCTTCTCTACGGGGACTAAAAGACCGATTTTTTATTTGTTTTCAACCTTTTTGCTATAAGCGTTTAAATTTTTATGGTATTTTCTATTAAAATGTCTAATTTTCTGATAGCTAAATCAAAAATCGGCCCTTTAGCCCTCATAGAGAAAATAGTAAGCTTCACATAAAAATTGACTTCCGTCCAATAGATTTTATTTTATTTAGTAATGATGGTTAATCATTTCGCTGAATATTGGTTTTTTGACTTGGTTTATTCGTGCTTAAATTAAACATTTAATACAAGCTTTCATTCCTTATTATTTTTTAAATATTTTTACAACTACAAAATGTAATGTTTTTTTTCCTTTTTTTTTTTTTGTAAATCACACTATCTATGATCCGTCTTATCGAAGCATTATTATTAATTAACAAGGTTTTTGTGAATCTTAAAATATAATAGTATATTTTAAATACAACTACGGGACTGAATTTGGAAAAACTTACAATTATAATAGTTTAATTAAAAAATAATTGGCCCCCAAATAATCGATATTGTTGATTTTTTATTTTTTTAACTTTATAGAGATAAAATAATACAACATGGCTGACGTTTGTTATGTTTTTTGATAATATATTTTGTATTGGGCGCATTGATGTATAAAAACAGATAACTGTTTAAACAACTAATAAGTATACAACAAAACATAAAAAAAATAAAGTTTTTTCTGATTTCTATACAATCGTGAATCACAAGTCACAACCCAAAAAAATTACACAACTAACGTTAGCGTTAATCCAGTTGTTTATCGAGAAACTAATGAAGCAAAACAAATCTATTGTAAAATTTTCAGGAGCAATATATGTATTCTGATAAGGATCTGATGTTAATGAAATTTGTCCCAGGGCACTTTTTTACACAAAAACATATTAATCAAACACATTGTTAGTTGTATCACTTATTGGGTTGTGATTTTCATTTTTTTTATTGAAATCAGATAAAACCAATCATTGTACTACAATAATTGGTAATTATTATTACTACACAATGAACGACTATAGAAAATATATTTACTTTAAATAAAATTTTAAAAAAATGTTATAAAGAACCGCCATAATCCCTATACGATTTTCTTTCTAGCAAAATATTGCATGCGCTACATTTGTATGGATTTTTTACCAAAAAAAAAAACGCACTGGT